TGTTCTAAACACAGTGGGGTATTGGACTGTTTCAACTGAGAAATAATTCCCGAAGACATCCGAAACAGAAAGCAGCAAACAAGCTCGTTCTCAAGGTTTCATCACCAGGCGAAAACAACCACCACAAAGCAGGCTAGAATGGACACCATGAGTTGAAATTTGGTGGGTCACTGAACAAAAGTACCTAATCGATAAGACTACATTTGTCTGGTTGTTGTGACGACATGAAGTGGCCTGACTATCATTGTTAGTCGCGTTAGCTTGGGGCCAAAGTAGGGTCAGAGTATGGACGAGTTTTTTCGGTGCACATAGATCCGGGTTATGGAGCCGAATCGCGATCGACTCTGCTGTCGACAGTAGACAGTATCTACCTGTGTGCAACGTCCGGGGACACAGTAAATTGGTGTGAATGCGTTATGCGAATTGGTTTGGTGACCGGAGTCCACTAGGTGCGAAAAAGCCTGCATTCGTTACACTCTTCCTCACACCGCTGTAGAGCCAAGCTGGACAATGCACCCCAGTCCTAAAAGACAGCCTCCTGGTCATTATCACAATATACCTTGCTCGACACGAGTAAGAGAAATTGTACACACAGAAGGAGATCCATGACCGAGATGTCTTGTTGCTGTTGGCGCACAAGCGGCGTTGAGGGAAATCTTACACGTAGATTAGCAACAAAATGCATTCTCACGTTCGCTAAAGAAAGTCTTCGGGTGGTCCTTCCCACTATCGAGTCACCCCTAAATGGTAATGATAAGTATATCATCTGCTGCTCTGCGGAAAGGGGTTTAAAATTTGGCACTCGCAGTTCTATGTCTCTGGATGAATTTGCCAGGGTACCCATCACGCTCGGATAAAGCTCAGCTCATACAAAAGCGTAGCTTCTGTACATATTCTCCTCTCTCTCTCTGTGTTAGGCAACGGACGAGATTCCGTTTTTTACTTATCGGAACAAAACTAGCGACATGGTGGTATTGTCCATTCCAGGTTTCCTTTCTCTGCACCCTTCTCCGCACTGACCCGTCGGATGTCCTGTTGATTTGGACATCTAAAAACACTAATAAATCGTTGCGTTCTAGCTCGATAATGTAAGTTATACTACTATGCGCTGAGTTAAAGTGGGCCAATAGATCACCGATGCACATTCTATTACTCGTGATACGAAATAGGTCATTTACATATCAACCGTAATAAACCAAGATGTTGATGGATTCCTTCAGCTGGTTGCACTTCAATTTACTCATGAAGACCTCCGCCAGCAACGCTCCTATTGGTGCATCCATTGCGACCCGATCTATTTGTCCATATAGCGTTCCATTAAACTGAAACTAAATGTTTCCCGTGTACATGAGTAGCAGGTGTCTCAGTCGGTCTGGTGAGATACCAACATTGATGTTGCGCATCTGGATGAACTCGCACAGATAGTCTATGGTCTCCTCCAATGGAACATTGGAAGAGACACAGCATCTAAGGAGAACATCTATCGCCCGGCTAGCTCAAGTTGTCACACTGAGTCAAGAAAATCAAAGGTGTCCTTGAGACTGTATCTAGCTATGGCTTTCCTGACTGGTTCCAGCCGTTTGACGATCCACTTGGCGGCTGAATGATACGGCGAGTTACACATATCTAGTATCAGCCTTAATGGTAGCCCTTCCTTATGTACTTTGGACAGGCCATACGATTTTGGAATCACTGCCCCACCCGATCTGGTGTATTCGAATATATCTGAGTCGATTAAATTTTCCTGCTTTAAGCAACGTAGAAATTTCGTTATGGATCTCTCGATTGTCTGTGTTTTGTCATCCTCATTATCCATTCGAAGAATTGTTGAACAGTCAGAAAGAATGACACATATCTTGCTGGTGTAGTCTGATCTGTGCACCAGAACGATCCTGACTCCTTTATCCGGTCTAGACAACAGTACACTATCGTTTCGCTTGAGTTCCTTAAGAGCGTTTAGATGTTCCTGCTTAGCTTGGCTCTACAGCAGAGAGCGGAAGAATGTGACGAGTGCAGTTCTTTCGCACCTAGTAGTCTCCGATCACCAAATCAATTCGCATAACGCATTCATAGCAATTTACTGTGTCCCCGGACGTTACACACACACACACACAGTTAGATACCGTCTGCTGTCGACAGCAGAGTCGATCGCAATTCGGCTCCATAACCCGGATCTATGTGCACCGAAAAACTCGTCCATATTCTAACCCTACTTTGGCCCCAAGCTAACGCGACTAACAATGACAGTCACGCCACTTCACCTGTTTTCACATCAACCAGACAAATCACGATTAAGTGCTTTCGTCCAGTGACTCACCAAATTTAAACTCATGATGTCTATTCAAGCATGCTTTGTGGTGGTTGTTTTAGCATGATGATGAAAACAAGCTTGTTTGCTACTTTCTGTCTCGGATATGCTCGGGAATTATTTCTCGATGGGCGGTTTGTTGGATACGGGCTTGACTATTTATTCCTTGTACATCAACCACACCTCCTCACGATAATGGCTTCATCCAATTAGTGAATGTTTAAAGGCATTACAAACCACTTGGCTGCGACTCGTTTGTTACTTTGCTGAGATCCACCCAGCGGGATTTCTTCATCCTCACCGAGGACCCGAAGGCGATGCTCTCTATAACACCTTTAATATCAGTCTCGACATACTGGTTCTGAGTGAGTCTAGATGTGACGAATTTCTACCTATGCTGGTTCTTATTGGCCATAGATACCTTCCAAGTCGCCAAAAGCCTGTTTCAAGCAAAGAAGCTGCTGAGCTCAAGTGGTTTCTTCTGGCCTACCGCAATAAGAATGATTTCTCGTTCACAATACAACACCGTAAGTCTGCCACAACCATGGAGCCTGTAGCATCGAAAAAAGATAATACTTGTGTGCAAGTTTGTTAGTGATAGAGCGTACATTTAGCTTTCCTATTTTACCGCCTTAAGGCCACATCCATTCGACTGCTCGTTGAGTTACTGCGCTAACGTCCGCTTCATCTATCCACATGTACCGTTAGCCCCTCGAGTATAGTCCGCTCGGTACGATTGCATTCGCATTCTGATATTTCTATTCGATTATACACTCTGGTCAGGACGTTTTCACTCATCTTATAAATTGGTAACCCCGATTCGGATTTCTGGGTGAATGCATACTTTCGCCATTTTCAAGTGTGTTTAGCTGTTACTTGATTAATTTTCATAGATTGGCCATATTTTTGCTCTTCCCTATGTACGAGTCGCACATGGCGCATGAGTCGTCTCACAACGTATGCGCGCTAACCTTGGCTGTTCCGTATCTCATAGAAAACAGCCGATATTTTGTTTGCTATTTTCGAGATCCAGCTCGAAAATAGGAGCATCCGGACAGACCCATCGTCCCACGCCATCCCTTATCGGTGGTGAAACTGGTTCAGGATACTCTAGTTTGCCAGCCGAAGGAAACGAAATACGAAATGATGAAAAAGGTGATCTTATATGGGTCACAACCCAGTGCACGGCTTCCACTGGAACAGCTGAATGGTCGCAAGCTAGAAAATCGCAAGCCGTCGACGTTGCTACACGAAATTCAGCGCGTTGTTGGTCTTTTCTTCATGAACGAAGACAAAAGAAAGAACCCGTGGCTTACACGTCTCCAAGTATCGTTTCCGGTAATGCTCTCCATGTTCCTTTACAAGACGCTGAGAGGACTAGCCACTATTATCACATGCGTATTGAATGTCAGGTCCCAATCCACTCAGGTGAATCGACACCATACATTCAAGCACGCACGCGCACCACCAATCTCATCGTGTCGCCAGTGAATGCACGTCGAGATGTCCTACCAGGTATTGATTAACCAGTGCTATGTTCAGGCTCGTTTTCCTTACCTAGGGTTCTGGGCTCCATAGAACACACAATCATACGTTTACTTGCCGTGACAACTATGTATGACACAGCAACGTTGTATTCGAACATCTGCAACAGGCAACTAGTAGCTTCGGTAAGAAGCTAGTGTTGCAATTTCGTCGAGTTGATCATTGAAACGAGGAAATTGCGCTACTTCGTAGTAGACTAGCGACAATGTGGCATTTGAAGCAGGGAACGCCACCGTCGGACACTGGCTGAGTGTTGGCTACCGTTCATTGTAGCTCGTTTGTGACTAGGCCAAGTACGTAAGTTTGACACATAAGCGCAATATTTCCTCGACAAATTTTCAGCCCGATATTATCAAAACAGTTGACGAGTTGCGGTGGCATCACCGTCAATATGCAGAAAAAGTTAGATGCTGCTGGGCTACATGCGCTATGTATGTCTCAGAGAAACGGAATAGTCCGCACGCTAGCAAGGCCAACCCGTCCGTCAGTAGCGAAACAGATTGTCTGTTTTACTGAAGTTCTTGCATCACTTCCCTCATTGACACGGGAGCGGAAGTGAGCACAATCGCTGCCAGCGCGTAAAACAGGCATGCGAAGTCCATGTACAATCTGCATGGGGTCTGCGGTTCGCTAGTAGCTTCATGCAGTCAGCGCATGATGAACCTGGACCTAAATCTCCGCAAAGATATTCAGTCGGTTTTCACGGTTGCGTCTGTACTCTTCGCAATTATCAGCACCGACTAACTCACAGAGGGCATAGTGAAAAGTAGTCCGCTGTTACCCATTGCGCTCAACGGTCAAATCTATGATCCGCACTACAGCGCTGTACACCATTACTTTAACAAATAAACTCGCTCTTCACTGTCTCCATACATAATAGAGGCTTTAAAAAACCGCACGAGCCTTAACAATGCGTGTGGGTAGCGATTTGACGATACGGCCGCCAAATCTGATACAACTATCCAGATAAGTAAAAGCGACTGACAACTTCCAGTGGTCGTTTAGGTATACTTGTCGGGTTGCGCATAAAGTCATGCGCACATAGTATGGGTTCACGTGAAGCTTTAGGCTAGTGAATTATCGCAAGGTTGCGTTGTCCATGGGACGATGGTTTGATATGATGTAGGTAGAAAGGAGAAGCAATAACAGTATGCAGCAGAAACTGTATAACGATGAGCTTTGGTAAAGTGGCAAATAATATTAATGAGAATAAACTGTAAAAGTGAAATACGTGGGATAATGAGTGGATGACCTTATGTACAGCAATATGTCCAAGTGAATAAAATGAATAGAGGAGCTATACGTCATTGGGAGTAAACATAGTGGGGGGGGGGGAAGATATGTACAGTAAGATACCTGAAAGGAGTGGCCATTAACAGCGCCCCCTGATTTGTGAGCAAAAGAGAGATCAGAGATAAAAGCAACTCATGATTGTCATCTGACAAGCAAAAGCTTGTGTGTGGGGAGGTATTAAGGGATATAAAAAGAGTAACCGCAGTGACTAGAAAAGTGAAACTGTGCATCCAACTCGGGAAAAGAGAATAAAGAAGCTAAGCATAGTTCGCGCTAAAATAAATCCTGCGTAACATCGTCAATATAATCTTCTGGGGAAAGAATGTCACTAGAATAAAAAGAACAGAAGATACAAGTGAACAGAGGCGTATGACTGTGGTGAAGTCTGAGGCAAACACTTGTAGGCTAAAGTAAAATTACACCAAGTGGAATATGGGACAAATACGGCGTAACCTTGTCGTCTTTCTGAACTGGAGAGGAGATGTACAAGTTCGCTATATAGTAGGCAACTAGTGTTCAGGCAACATTCGTTCACATGACAATGGGAAGGTTAGTCAAATGCAAAGCAATATACTGCGAATACCTTGGGTGCCAACTGATCAAGTTTCTGCAGATAGGGTAAGGTCGACTGGATAGAGGTGCGTATCCACAGTGAGTAATGGACCTGGTGGCTCCAATTCGATTGCATGCACACCCAAAATGGCGCAGCAGAATTCCTAATTGATTGCAGATGCTTTCCGACACCGGCCCCTAGACTAAAGGCAAGGAGCATATCATGTAACCTGACGGCGCGGGTTCGAGCTTGCGTAGAGGCACAGCGACCCATGCAGTATCCTTAGCTCACGTGCGAACAGTGGTGGGTGCGCGAAAGCGAAGCACAGGTACTGCGAACCAGCGTACTGATGATCTTATTTCTTTCTGACATCGCAGAAAGTGGGACTAACTGAAAGGAACACTAGTGGTTAACTGAAAGGCAACCTGAAAAAATTAGTCGTGTGATTGGAAAACACCAGATCGCAGTAACAGACAATAAGCACATAAATGGGAGAAAAGTGGTTGACGTAGTAAAGTTTCATATCCAGTCCATCATTTTGGGATTTGTTAGTTGATACGCGGAGGACACGACAAGAAACTGGTAAATCAGCTACACAACGACTTGCAGATAGTGTAAACCCAAAGGAATAAGACTGGGAGGTATGTGGATGGGGGCCACGTTTCATCAAGAGCCGACCCACACTCCTTCACAGGCAAACACAAACGCGATGTATTTGGGAATCAAGTGCACACAAGGCGGTTCCTGGACCGTAGTCCGCTCCACACTAAGTGCATGGAACCACTCTTCGAGCCTAACACGGCCACAAGGACAATGCACACCGTCCTCTCCAGCAACGACCAACTGTCTCCTAGAGCCAGTATGGAAGAGGTAGTGGGTAATAGACAGGTAGGCACCTTGTCAACATACACATCAAGCGTAACCACACCGGAGATATCAACCAACAGCCAATCACTTAAGACGACAATATCAAATAAAATAAAGCGATATATATATATATATATATATATATATATATATATATAAGTCTATTTGATTTGGACAAAGCTCAGTATACTTTATTTGGTTTGTTCAATCCTGTTATTCTGCTGCATATTCTGTGCTAATCTAGGGTGTTTGTTTTCCCTTAAAGTAGAGGTTGGTTGTTTGATATCCCCGATGTGGCTGCGCTTGATGTGAATGCTGACAAGGTGCCTGTCTGTCTAACACCCTCCATCTAGATTACTGGTTCCAGGAGACTGTGAATGGGTGCTGGGGGTGCACGGTCCTCGTAGCCGTGTTAGGCTCAAACAGCGGTTCCATCCAGTGTGGAGCGGACTACGGCTCAGGCACCACCTACCGTACGTCTGGTGCGCATGATTCACAACAAAGATAGACAGGAATACTACTGCTGTGCATGTTCAAGGAGTGGGAGCCGGCTCCGTTGGTGAAATGTGGATCCCATCCCCATGCCTCCCGATCTTATACGTTCGGGTTGACACTAGATATGGGGTGTGTGGTTGGAGCTGTGGGTGGTGCAATGCAAGCAATCCATGGTCCCTCTGTAGGCGCAGACGTCCTGCGGCTGTCCTATGGTCCCCGTGACAGGCAAATCCAGAACAGGATGCCCTCAACCATGGTGTGACGAGGCTTGTGGCGGCTAGATCCTGGCAGATCGTTTATCCGCTGATCCCAAGGTTGTGCCGTTGGCTCATGTCCGGGAAACCGCCTCGGGGTGACTGCTGGGTGGGAGTTGTGTTACACCTTGCTTACAGCTAAGAGTTAGAACACACACCATTCCGCGTGAGTTTGTCCACAGACACATGGTACACGGTCTGTTGCCTTCCGGGTGTCGAAGCCCTTGGCTGAGGACCCGGTTCGTTCTCCTGTCCAGATGTGGACGCCCTGGCAGTATCAAGTCCACAAACCAACCATGAATTACACCTATAGAGATAATCTCATGCTGTATCGACCGTCGCGAAATGGCATTAAGAAAAAGGTCACCTTATCTGTTGTATATAGCGGGATGGATAAGCGAAAAGATGCCACCGCTGAAGCCTCCCATTTTTCTTCTTCCCTTACATATACTCCTTTTCACTTAACCAATGACTTCCTCTAACACAGGCCAGCACACGAGCGATTGTCCGCCACTGCAATCCTATGCCTGCGTGCAAAGCACGCAACATCGGGTGCTGGAACGTGCATAAGCTGCTAGTCGAGGAAAAGTCGGCGTCGGAATTCGAGAAATTCCTGGAAAAACCCTGCCGATATGAAATATCGCCAATGCTCTCCAATCTAAGAAGTCTGCACCTGAAGAATTAAGGATGCAGTCAACCAGAGAATCTTGCTTCTTCCATCCAGTATTCAGAAGACATTGTATGCCCGGAAGTAATGACACTAGTACAAATTCCTAACCGAACAAGGATAAACGATTAACGGACCAGACACAACTGCTGATGATTCACAAGTAAATATTTTTGATTTTACGTAATTCGATGGAGATGTACCTTGCTCTACTTGCTCTTACATACAGTCTCACTCTCAATCGGCACATGAGTGAGCGACCCAGGTGATGCACAGCACTGGTCGTGATGGAACTGGCGCGTTAAGGGGTTGACATTGCTGCACTCAGCGAAACTCGGCTCGGTAATTGTTGTAATACTGCCCTTGCCACTGCTGTCTGCGTCACAAACCCAACCGGTAAAGAAAGCAGAAGACCGAGACCAGCCAGCTCGAAGAGTAGTAGGAGCAGGACACGGTTACCTTTATAGGTCACATGCTCTCACCGCCAATTATGCGTTTGTGGGCTGACTCACGTCACTTGCGTAGACAGATTCAAGCCTGCTAGCGGTCTTCACTGGCCAGCGGGAGTCGCACTCACGCCAGCCGCGTTGCAACCCGTGTTATAATGGCGAACTGGCTCCATCAGCTTTCCGCGTGACTTAGCGCAGGCACACTTCAAGTTTCGAAACCGTGTCACGGAGTTCTTTCGTTGTGGCAGCCCAATACCTTTCGAAGTGAGTCTGCTTGCGTGTTGTTCGATCTCGACTTTGTTCACAGATCTTCACCTTGGAGTCAGCATGTAGCTATTGTGATCGTCTCCACTTGCCTGCATTGTGCGCCATTTTTTAGTTGCAACTGCTGGTGTGGTCCACTTAGCCGCTTAGCTTCGCCTTCCAAGTCACACATGTCTAGCAAGATGTCCCACGGCAAGAATGGCAGTTCTGGAGGATTTTGAGCCTTGCAGTAATTCAGCCTCAGCTAATTGGCGAGCCTGACCCATTTCTCATTTCCTACCATTAGCTCGCAGATGACTCGAAGGATTCTGCCGATCACCGTTCCTATCGACTCCTTCTCGGTCTTCGGAAGTCTCGCGCGTACACCATGTCCCCAATTTTGAAATGATGTAGACTGTTTGTCAGATCTTCCTCCGACTGGCAACTGTAGTGCTTTTCTTTCATTGAGTTCGGCACAGGACGCTTTGGTCAGCAGTGGTTTAGCGTCTTGCTTGAGGTTCAGGGCAGAACTGGCCATGCTGCAGCATCCCAGACCAGGTTGGAGCATCGCTTCGTGGCGTCTTTTCATCTTCGTAACCTGACTTTGCACCACCCGGCTTGCTATCGATGGCTGCGACAGCCGGTTGACTTGCGGTGGCTGGGATACATTGTTTAGTTGCAAATCGACAATTGCAACTCTTCCATCTAATTGAGTCCCAGCAAATCCAACCCCGGTCGGTCTGCCACAAAGCACGTTGTGTGGATTTGTTGGCCCCGAAAATTAACTTGACAGTTCAATTTACCAAGCATTCCGTGCCGTATGGATCGTTTGCACGAGAGTCGGCCGACCCCGCTTGCGAAATGTGCCGCTAGAGATCATAGTGATATCTGAAGCAGTATCAAGTTGTAACTTGACTTGCCTGCCATTGATTTCTACCATCGTGTACTTACGCCTGTTGAGGTCATCAACCATGAAAGTCGTGGTGATCGTTCTGATTCCATCGGGTCGTTTGAACAGTGTGGCATTGTGGCGCCTCTTCCTCGTCAAAGAAGGACCATTTGACAAGAAAAACGACTCTTTATGACTTCTGCAGCATCGGTTGAAAATGTGATTCTTAAATGGGCAGTTTTGAGCCATTCATTACAAAACCAACAAGCAGAGGGAGGTTTGGAATGTGATGGACTCAAGTGAGTTGCTGCATTTTGGAGAGTCCGATTGACTGCACAAATTAGGTCATGTTCGTTCTTATTCGACAACTGCTGAATTCTTGTCATATCGTGCTTCAGATTAATTATCCTTTGGCACTCACCGGTCACTTGCTGCAATGTGATGTCAGTATTCTGTACAAGCTTTCTCAGTCTTCTTGTTCGAATGTCTGCATCTTTGGCTGCTTGTAGGCCGCAAACATATGCGACCCTGGAACTAAACACCGGTTATCTTGTGTAACTGTGGTCGTGCGAACTCGCGATTCACACGGCTTGAATAAGTGACCCAGTCATCGACTTCTTTAGTAGTCATAGTCAAACACTTGTGACGAATGTTAAACAGCGATGTCTGTTACCCGAAAATTCGTAAGAGGACTGTCACGACTCCATCAAACGACAGGTCAATGCTCTGTTGGGAGAATGAAATTTGTGAACCCTTCAGGTACAGCAGCACCCAGCTTCCGAAGCATAAGACGACCTTCACTAAAACAGGAAGCAAACGTTACACCGGCATCAGCATCATAACGGAATTTGCTGATTTGCAGTCAGAGTTCCCGGAAAAGGGCACTTTCACTTGCCGCTGAACCTGAGCCG